GACAGGTGAAAAGACATCATCTTGGTAACTTAAGGTTTGACAGTCTGGAATGATGTACTGGGGCATAATTACAATTGATGCACTGAAAAAATATTCTTCACAATGGAAGACAATATAAAAAATACAATGCAACTGGGCCATGTTTTGTTGACATATTTGAACTAACACTTCAAAGAACATTTTATCTAAAGACTGAAAAAAGCATACACTCAAATATGTCAACCACTGAATGTGAACTGAAGTTAACACATGGTTTCAGTGATGTTACAGTACCCACTATAGATGTACAGACACCTTCGATCTTCCTGTTCATCTTTGTGCCCTGAAGAATTGCAAAAAAATGTTTGGGAGAGACAAAAAGGGTCCTGAGATTCTTACCATAAGAGCATAGGTTAGTCCCAAGCCTACAAGTCCTGAAGAGAGTTTACTATACAGGCAACTGGTAATAGAAGTGACAGCTGCTATGAGTACCACACATGCTCCAATGTACTCCTGAAGGAATATGAATAAGCTTCATCACTGTAAGTCCAACAAATGATTAAAACATTCTCATAACTTTGCATACCAAATCACAAACCCACTGCATGGTTTGAAATACAGGCAGAAAACACCACGTAACTCCATACAGACCCTGCCTAGGAACCCATTCTCATTGCCTTTAGTGTGGCTGTGCTGTTTGGAAACGCTGTTGTACACAGGAGTGGTACCAACACTGCTAATCTTCTTCCGGAGAAGTCAACACAGATATCTTAAGCATGTAATGGAGGTGGCTGAAACTGTGCCGCTGATGTTCCCTGGGGTAGGAGGGAAATGCTCACGTGATCCCCTCTGTGAGCGGATCCTCTCTGCAGCTGATGGTTGACTGCTGGGAGGCACTGCGGTTGCTACCATCCGTATTTGTTCAAACAAACAGTTCTTGCACAGCATGTATCTATTAGTCGGACTGTGTCCACCCATGATGGGCTTTTGCTGCTTTAATTTAAATCATTAGTGATTTGACTTCCCACAGACAAGTCTTTGAGTAAAATATGTAACACACTAGAAAATGAACTCTGTAGGAGGGAAATTGTCACTCGTCTGTGTTTGTACTGTTTGGTGATACAGGCAATGATCAGAATTAGAGACTTCAGATGGTCTAGGACTGAACATATAAAAGGATAATAACATTTTATTTAAGTCATACTCAATATCTGAATTTAAGTAGCAAAAGGTACCAGCTACAATAGAGTCCAAAATGGAGGTATAGAGTGTGACATGAAATATGAGTTAGCATACACTTAGCACATATAAAAGGAGCCCGTGTTACCACAACAGCGGTACTACACCTGTATCTAACGAAGCCTGATATAAATAAGGAATTTTACATTGCAGATGATGATAATTTGCTTCTCAAGGAATTATTTTTAATAAATAATTTCTCATGCCAGGCCACTTTACAGAACACTCTAAGGAAACACGCACCTAAATATCTTTGGCATTCTTCAGAGGACCCAAAACAGGCACCAACCTGTCTACGTCCTTCTGCTTAAGAGAGCTTCCAAGATGTTGCAACGTTCCTGGGGAGCCACAAGGCAAAGGCCTGCTGACACTGACTAACACAGTCCCATAAAGGCATCCTGGCTGGCGGCACAGCTCAACCAGCTCTAATCACTCTTCACACACAGAGGAGCCAATGTGACCTATAAAAACTATTCTTGTCTTGGAGAAACAGCTGCAGGCTATGGGGAAAATCCGTACTCCATTCAGTTCCCAGGATGGGTTGGGCATGTGTTCATTACAGACAGAGAAATATAGATATAAAGGGTAAAGGTAGAGCTTTGAAACCCAGCTGAGGCTGGATAACTGTTGGATGCCTCATCAGATTGCTTGGAATGAAATCAAAATTCACTGCGTATACACAAACATAATGTACTTGCCATGCGGACTTCCAGCCAGCGATTGGCAGCTGTAAGGAAAAGGGAAGCGATGTTGTTGGAATCTGTGTATTCAAGAAGTTTTTGTCGAAATTTGGCTTCATACCTAAAAAAAAAAAAAAAAAAAAAAAAAAAAAAAAAAAAAAGGGAGAGGGCTAAGGGTCAGGGCTTGGGGTCTTGGAAAAACAAAAAGTAAAATTTAATTTCTGGTTGTATATGCTCATGGGCAGCTTGACACAGGGTCCAAATCAGCCTATCAATAGTTCAGAGTGACATCATCTGTAGGCTTGTATTATTCACATGCAAACTGTATTTGTAAAGTATCTTCAGGAGTAAATGGATGTTATTGCATTGATGAAACTCTGTGTGGGACTTCTGGATCACACTGGGCATTTTCTAAACGTATTTTATTGCACGGTAACTCTAAGAGAGACAAATCTGAAACTAAAAAAATTAAAAATATGTATGAGAGAGAAATAATACACGCACGTACTTGTGAAAAGAAATATTAGTACTGTAGAATGCAGTTCCTCTTCTCACTTAATCATATAAGCTCAAATTTTAAAATTTATATTACTGTAGTGCCTAGAAATTGTAATCATTTATAAAGTATAAATTCAAAGTACCTCCAGTCATGGGAGCTCCAGTGTTAGACAAACATGTTTGTGCTTATCACTAAACAAATGGAGCACTTTGAAAAACAAAAGTCCAAGCACGTGGTGCAACAAAAAGTAACGGACTGGAAAGAACTATGCTCCCCCACCCCGCAAATGAATTAGCCACAGAATACAAAATAAGATTAATGGCAAATAGGTCTGTTTACAGTTTATTATAGCGGATCTGCACCCACTCATCAGAATAGCTGCATCAATGAATTCTGCCTTGAATTCAGCAGATATGGAAGACGATTCCCTGCTACACCTATTCAGACCGGGGTTCTTGGCAAGCACGCAAGTCAGCCAGTCACCCCTTTCAGCTGGGCATATTTATTTGCATAGGTATAAATTAATGTGATGTTAGTAATAAAGTGTATCAATAATTATGTCTAATAATAAAGGAGAAGTTTAGCACAAAAGCCTTTTCCAGGGTAGTAACAGAAGCTTGAAGGCCTGAAGATCTAGTTTAAGCACCCAAAACTTGCCTTTTTTCCCCCCTTTATTACATTAGCAAGTTTAACAAACTTGCTAATCTCCCCCTATAAAACTTTGCCCTATTTATATCCTTAGCTATTATGGTTGCAACAAGCACTACTTATTTATAAACTCAGCTCTCCTTTTACTGATACGAGAGAAAGATATGACAATGTTTTGTTTGTGTTCAGTTTTGGGCCCCTCACTACAAGAAGGACACTGAGGTGCTGGAGCGCGTCCAGAGAAGGGCAACGAAGCTGGTGAGAAGGGTCTGGAGAACAAGTCTGATGAGGAGCGGCTGAGAGAACTGGGGTTGTTTAGTCTGGAGAAGAGGAGGCTGAGGGGAGACCTCATCGCGCTCTACAACTACCCGGAAAGAGGTTGTAGCGAGGTGGGGGTTGGTCTCTTCTCCCAGGTAACAAGCAATAGGATGAGAGGAAATGGCCTCAAGTTGTGCCAGGGGAGGTTTAGATTGGATATGAGGAAAAATTTCTTCACCGAAAGTGTTGTCAAGCATTGGAACAGGCTGCCCAGGGAAGTGGTCCCTGGAGGGATGTGTAGATGTGGTGCTTAGGGACATGGTTTGATGGTGGACTTGGCAGTGCTAGGTTAACAGCTGGACTTGATGATCTTAAAGGTCTTTTCCAACCTAAATGATTTTATGATTCTAATTATGAAGTACATGGCTTAGAGAAGCTTTCAAATTTGTTCACTGCAGAGTATCTTAATCCTTCTTCTGAGTATAGTATAATAAAATTATGACTTTACATAAATCATTTATGCTTTTGAGAAAAAGAAATAAGTGCCACTTTGTGGAAATAATTTAGCTGTTCACAACTTAGCCATGTGCCAAGACATGGACCTGTTGAAGCGGGTCCAGAGGAGGGCCAAGAAGATGATCAGGGGGATGGAACACCTCCCCTATGAAGAAAGGCTGAGAGAGTTGGGGTTGTTCAGCCTGGAGAAGAGAAGGCGCCGGGGAGACCTTATTGCGGCCTTTCAGTATTTAAAGGGAGCTTATTAGAAAGATGGGGACAGACTTTTTAGCAGGGCCTGTTGTGACAGGACAAGGGGGAATGGTTTTAAACTAAAAGAGGGTAGATTCAGACTGGATATAAGGAAGAAGTGTTTTACGATGAGGGTGGTGAAACCCTGGACCAGGTTGCCCAGAGAGGTGGTAGATGTCCCATCCCTGGGAACATTCAAGGTCAGGCTGGATGGGCTCTGAGCAACCTGATCTAGTTGAAGATGTCCCTGCCCATGGCAGGGGGGTTGAACTAGATGACCTTTAAAGGTCCCTTCCAACCCAAACCATTCTATGATTCTATGATAAGAGATATGTCTGCTGTGTGCAATGAAGAATGGCCTGGGCTGGCTCCCAGAGTGTTGGTGTGTTTGCATAGCCTAGAATGGTTGTTCCTGAAAGCGAGCATTAGCGTCACGCAGCGTCAGAGCTACTGAGCCCTGCCTTTCCTCAGGACTAATTACCCTCAGTGTCCTACCATACAGAGATGGCTATTCTGCTTCTGGAAACAATTCAGTCACGTTTAACTTTCATATCTCTATACCATGAGGCATTATGTGATGCAGATATGCCTTAGAAGACGTGAGGTATGCATCATGAGTCAGTCATGCATACACACGTGGAATGGGAATGCAGACAAAGTTACCACTGTTGGTGGAGTACTGCAGAAATATCAGAATTTCTCTTCAGAAAGTGTCCCCAGATTACCAGGCCTCCCAGAATACAGACCAGTCTTTGCAGAAATTTTCACATTTACATTTTATTGATTATTTAGCACTGACGCCATCTGAAGTGCCAGATAGCAAATTATAAATCAGGCCAGAGCATCTGCTGAAGGTGTATTTATAGCTGCAGCAGTAGCTGTCTTTCTGATCTCCCCCTGGACTTTTTGTACATTTCTTTCCTTATGCATTCTGAGAAAGCACAGGACGGAGAGTTACCAAGGGTAAGGGCATTCCAGGAACAACGGGCACCTCCTAACATTATGACTGGATTCCTGAATTAGTCTTATTTTTAGGGATGCTCAAGCTAGCAAGTCTAAACTCCACTACTCCTGCTAATATGTTAGGCAGCTGAAAAACTACACAGTCCTAAAAATAGCTAGGTTACCAGCTGATGCGGGAGCTGGCAGGCAGATGGAATACAGAACTTACTGAACACACATGGCTGTTGGGTCAGACACACGTCAGTTACTACAGGATTTAAGGAAAAGGAGGCACCAAACAATTCTTTGACAGAGGAATTCATTTCAAGGTGACAGGAAGAATCAAGAGGGAACGCTCCAAATGACTGAAAATATTAGCTAGATGGCATCGAATATTTTTTATTGTATCAACACCTGAAAATATACAGCCATAATACTCTAAAGATCCTCTTGATGAAGTAGAAGAATATATGGATAAATGAGAAAAGCAATAGTTAAAAGAGAAATTGACTTTCATTAAAACTGAACACAGATATAGCCACAAACTAGAGAACACTGTTGGGTTGGCACTTAACGAATTAAATATCCAATAACAGTAATTAATAATGGAAAATACTATGCTGTTCTACCACTCTTCGGGAAGCTACCTTCAGTCAAAAAGAAACAAACTCTTGAATTGGTTGTTCTTTCATTAAGCTATTTAGATCCTATTTAGAATAGTATAAGAAAAGTTAACTTTGTGCATTACTTCTATTATAAAATTAACATTATAGGTTAGGGGGAATAAGCACTACTGTTTCAAAGACAGAACAGTAACAGTAATAATCAACTGAGAAAACGTGTAGACATCTAGATGAGACTGGTGTGGAAGACAGTTGACCGCATTTGAGTCGACTGGGAAAAGACAAGAATAGCACTAGCGTGGGGAAAGCAGCTGGTAAGCTCAGCAGTAGTTTTATTAGTACCTCTACTAGTATCAGTGTGACTGCCATTTTTGTAACACAGATACACAGCCCAGGCACATTATCAGGTATTCCTGGGCTGCTCTCCCGTGAGCTTATGTGGATAGAAAAATGAATCAAAACTGGTGATGAAAGACTTTGTCTCCAGCTTGTGTATTTTCAAAATCAGTACAAACAACCACATTTTCAGCTAGCAACCTGAAAAATAACTTAGGCTGCTATTGTATCCTCTGAAGTCACTAGCAGGCACAGTTTATCTTACCAGGACATTGACTCATGCACAAATTACTCTGGCATAACAAGTTAGTGCATATTAGTTGTTCCATAGAAACTGTCTGAGCGCATAGTCTGCCACGCTGCACGCTGTGGTAATTGCAAGCTAATTTAGCTTCTTAAATCACATTTGCCCACAAGTTTTTTTTTAGGCTGCGTGCAAGTGTATGGAGAGTTACCGCAAGGCAGCTGACACACATTAGCTTGTTTTTCTACAGTAACTCTTTCACATGCAAAATGCTTAAAGTTCTTCAATGTTTTGGAGTTCCCCCTTACCAGTGTTTTGGGGACTCTGGATTTTCCAGGTGATCCAAATTACAATTACTTATAACTGCACAATTGCAGAACAGAATCAGAGATAGATATTCAAAAGCGAGGTAATGTACGTTTCTTAAAAAACTATACCTGAAGGCTCGGATGGTGGTAAGACCTTCAACAGTCTCTGAAAAATGGGAGAGTAATGGTAGCTGAGTGCTGTCATCCAGCTGCTGCAGGTCCCTGGAGAGGGTTATGAGAAGAATTTTGTAGAAAGCCAGTTTTGTTGTGCAATTATTCTTTTGAAAAGGCCCAGGGAGTGAAAGAGAATATCGTCACAATAATTATATACGTAAGGTTCAGATAGATTGCAAAGCAGTGCTACATGTCTCTGAGCGGGGAATGAAGATCCCAGGAGGATTTCTCTTTTAACATTTGAATACAAACAGTGCTGGAGTTCTGAATGGGTCTTTTCCCTTCACTGCTTTCCCTCGTCTCTCCTATATTCCTATTTCTTGTACTCAATTGTTTATTCATTTAAACACCATTCTAGCTTTATGCTGAATATAAATTTAATGGGATACTGCAAGTAAGAGCTCGAGTTAAGCAGAAAGCAAAATGCAACTTCCTCTCTCTCCCCTCTCCATCCCCAGATGACAGCACAACTTCTCACTGAGCTAACAGTATAACTCATACATTCAGTAAAGTAAACGAGAGCCCGCACTCATCATTAGGTTGTGATTCTCAATTTCATGTTTAGTCATCAAATCAGTGGAAGCCCATGTGGGGTGAAATTCTATTTAGTCTCAGTTCCTTTTAGCAGGAAGTAAGTTGGTTGCAGACTCCCTCTGGATCCATGCATGCGTGATGGGATAAATGCAAGCGCTTCTTGAGCGCCACCGGGGGGAAGCTGTATGACCGTAGAAGGAGAAAAATCACAGATATGGCTAAAATTTTTTAACTTGTTAAAAACTAAAAGGCACCCAGAACAAGAGCGGATACTCGTGCACGTTGGATCCTTAATGGGCAGCATTCTCCACCCTCTCCCTGGCTTTACAGATTTCCACTTCCACCTGGACAGGCAGACAACAGTTTCCCTGTTCTATCACCACATTTTCTTGGACGTACCCAGCATGCAGACCTTGGGGAGGACAGAATCCGGTTGATTTTTTGTATCGTGTGAAGTCTAAGAAACTTTGATCATGGACAAAGACCCTGCTCATACCTCCCAGAAGTTCTGCTTGAAGAGCTGCAGACAAAGGAACTTGTAAAATGACACATTTTCACTATAATGGATTTGGCTCACTTTCAGGCAGGGCCATGGCTTTGGCAGGACCGAAATTAAACATGAAGTTCCCCAGCACTGCAATGCAATCATGCATTGCAGAAGATGTTTCTATTGCCAGAACGATACTGGTTTATGCTCTTACCGTGATGCAACTCGGAAGTACTTCTGGATGAAGTAACACATGATTGCGAGAGGAACCAGGGCAATGAGAAACATTGGTGTGACGTATGAGATGACGGCAAGAGCAGATACACACAGCAAAGTGGAACGACTCAAGCACTCCAGGGTAGCTGGAATGTGCTGTATAGATAAAGAAGAATAAGCACACACAATCTTCCATAACAGATCCAGTTTAAAACAGCATTATTTCATTTTCTTTTCTCCCACTTACACAAGGCAAAAAAATTTGAGGATTTGAAGCACTAAGCATATAGGTCCGCTTTTGAATTGACTGCTGGGTTTTGAGAAAGTCTGAAGGGATTTCTGTGGGGCTGCTTCACACGTCTGCATTGTGGATCACAATCCTCATTTCAGAGGATTACAGATGGGATGCAATAGATGATTTCAGTGTCTGCATTGATCCTATGAACTGGCAGTGTAGTCTGGGGTAAATACTGATAATTTTAATTTCAGTCATTTCTGTTTTGGGCAACAGCATTTGCCTTTTTCTCACTTCGTTTGCTCATATGTGTCAAGTGAATGTGTTTATCCACTTTTAAAAAAAGTGGATCCTCTTCATTTGGGGATATCACTATTGATCTAATTTCACTTCCCTTTTTTATACAGGGCATCTTAACCAAATAAATGGTTTTTCAATGTGCATTTAAGATGAGGAATTCATTCTGAACCTAGAAAACCATGATGCAAATTAATATAGTAGTCAAAATTATAGATCATCAGTAAACTTCATCTAAATGAGTGTATAATAAATGAAAATCCAGTCTTTCGGACTGGGAAAGATAGGATAACTTGGGAGCTTGGATATATTTATTCAGTACCTGGTCGATGGTATTGCAGTCAGCTGAAAATCTGTTCAATATACTTCCCAGAGGTGTTGTTTCAAAAAACCTAAAATGAGGCAAGGAATGGGAAAGATTACAATATTGACACAAGAACAGTTTTAAATTTTTTTCCTGTCTTCCTTAAGCTAGGTACTGTATCACTGACACAAGCAAATAAATTGACAACCACAGTAAATTTTGTCATTCTTCCCCGTAACCATGGCTTTCCAATAAAATGGCAGTCTTGACTGTAACCCAACAACAGCAAGCATGTCCTCAGCTCCCTCTACTGCCTGAGCTATGCAAATCACATGATTAGATTTTTAAAAATCCTTTCAGATTTGCAATTGGAGGCCTCTTCAATTCATGAAAAATGCAAACAAAGTTAAATCGCAAGTCTTGCATTTTTCTGGGAATAGAAATGCATAACTAAGAACAACTGTTGGAATAACATATTAAAAGACCTTTCCTTTACATTTGCATATGCAAAATACATAATTCATTATTGCTCTGTAATTGTTAACTGTTCCATAACTCATGTTGAACCTGAAGTCTAAGTCTATTCTGAAAAAACAAAAGTTAAAAAAAAAAAACTGAGGTTTTCCATGTATATTATTTCTTCATGATTTCTGGGTCAAATACAGTTAGCTTAAAAATCAGAAGGTATTCTTCCTGATGTTCAGTAACAGCTGCAGGTTTGAATCAAGCTACAACTTTCCTTTCGTGCTTTAGAAATAAAAGTTATGCAGGACAACAAAGGCCTTTGCCGGTATCTGTGCACCCCAGTGTACCCTAATGATGCCTGTGATGACACTTGTCTAAGCTCATTATCTTTCTTAGGCTTGCACAATCGCTGCCTGACAGTAAATATTTCCAGTGATTAAGATTATGATGCACGCTACGAATGAACCACACAACATATTGATCAATAACTGTGTTTTCTCCCTAATTAAAAACAGCAAAGAGAAATTAAACATGCAAGGAAGTAAATCTCTTAAGTCCCAGTCAGGCAGGAGAGGCGTTGACTATTGTCTAGGAACTCAAGCTGCCTGGGTACCATTTTCCAAAATTGCTCAGTAGTTTGATACCTGGTGATTTTCAATGACAAATTAAAACAATGTGATTCACAGTCACTTCTTAATAAAAACTGTGCTTAGAAGACTGCCTTGAAGTAAGGAACACAAAATGAGTACAATATAATTTGTATTACAATTGGAGGAATACCTCATTGGAGCCAAAATAATTTTATTTAGTAAAGAAGAGTGTAGCTTTTTGGTGACTTTCAAGCCAGTCCACTCCACTGCTATTGATGTGACAAGACATAATACAATCCCAAGACAGCAGAGAACGCTGAAAACTTTTGAATATGGAGAATGGTTGAAATCCTAAGAAACAAAGAAAGAGTAACAAAATTATTCGCTGTACATTATGTTTAAAATTTATTGTAAAAACACAAATACAAGACTCTCTAAATTAAACTGCCAATGATTTGCAACCACCTTAAACCACAATTTATCATCGTTTGAAGAGAGGAGTGTGTGCATGAAAGTAAGAGGATAATCAGAAATTTAAAATCATAGAATACTACAAAAAGCCCTGAAAAGATACATTTGATAATTTCGTCTGAAGGAAAAAAACATCTTCAAAGCATTTGTTGTGGCTTTGTAGTTTTGGTTGAATTTTTTAATAGGAACAGAATATAATAGTTTTTAATTTGAAATACTAATTTCATATTAAAACCCAGCATCAATAAAGCATCTTTTAGAGATGAAAGTGTGACTCCAGTGAAATCACACATGCACCTCCCAAACATTAATGTGGATTATTTGTAGGCACTAAATCCTGATAAAGAAAACAACCCCAGTTCTAAGAAAATCCCTCCACTACTGCTTTATACATACAGAGTACCCTGCTAGGTAACACTGTGGTCAGTTCCACGTGGAATTCACACAAAAATCAACCAAAACAAGTGTGCTCATCAAAATCTGTGTTTCCCATGTTACAAAACCTGAAAGCCCTACTTGCAGTGAGAATGCAACAGTACAGGAAAAAGAAAAAAACGATGATATCAAAATTACTTTAGAGACCAAGGTTTAGGCATATCAGCTAGATGATGAAAACACAAAAAATCTAGCAAAAGGAGGACAACAACACACAAAACTTAACTTTTAGTTTTATTGCACTGTGTACCCAAAAATGCATTAACCCTCAAAATACTCTGGAGTGGCTCTATTACTAGAAACATAGCACATCGCATACAAATCTTGGAGCAGAGGTTGACAGGGGGAGATCACGACCCGTTAAATCATAAGAGGAAGGAGAATGAGCATTGCGTACCGCACAGTGAGAGCAGTTTTTCAGCTCTAGCTCTGTCTTCCCAGAAATGGCATCCGAGGTCCAGCGCGCCAGGCAGTAGTCGATGGCCACCATCACCGTGTGCTTCAGCAGCTGGGACAGAACCAGCAGCGGCAGGAGGAGGATTCCCGCTGCGCTGAGGTACTTGCCACAGGCTCTCCAGGGCATCTTTGCTCTCTGATGCAGCACTGAAGACAGGTTGTCTTCATCATCACTTTCTGTTACTTCTTCTGCAACGTGCATGAAAAAAGTACAGCCACACTGACTTACTCGTACACACCTTGCATAGAGACTGGCAAGGGGCAGCTACAAAACAGGTCGTCTTATACAGCATGAAGAGTGGCTTTAAGGTGAAATTACCTGCTCAGGCATGCATGTATTAGACTGCTAAAGTTAGTAGTAATGCATGCTAGAAAGATGCAAAAATCCTTAGCACTAGGTGATCAATGTCTCCAGTCACGTTCTTGCAATTTAGAAGTACTGGCTTGACAAAAATTAATTGCAATTTTTCCCTAGGTAAGACCTTAAACTAAGTGTGCTTAGCTATTGACAGGTTTGAAGGTCACCCAGCATAAATTATTCAATATTATTCCTCTTCTGTTATCAAATCATGCTCGAGTATAAGAAAAAAACCACTTAAAAGTTTGGAGGAAGCTATGACTTCTGAATGCTTGAAATCACTGTAGTCCAGAGGTAAAAATCAATGGAATCATTGCAAATCATGACCCACATGAAAAATGACTATTCTCTTGTTTTAGTTATGTTAATTCATTCTAAAATGATTTAACTGTGAAACAGTAATGTAGTGGTACTGGGCTCAAAGGGTGTCCTTTTACCTTCATCCTCTTCATCATCTTTCAGCAGAGCTTCACGGGAATACATAGTCCTCCGGAGATTTGTTCTTTCCAAAACAGTTTTTCTTTCAATAATAGTCTCCTAAAAAAGGGACAGTTTGTGTGTTTTCAAGCAGAGAATTAATAAAAAAATTACTAGCTGTGACAAAACTTGTTTCCAATTAGAATGTCAGAGAAAAATAAAAATGAGACTCTTATAGCAGGCAGTCATAAGTGATTGATTTGCTAACTCTGTCTAAAACCAAAGGACGTAAATTAGATATCTGACATTAATTTCAGGTTGTCAATCCCAACCCTCCTGGAATCTTAACTTGGACAGATATCCCTGAATTAGAAAGACCTAAAATTAATATCTCATTCTTCCTGTGTTGTAATATTAAAGACAAAATGTGTTAATGATTCAGAGAGCCTGATATAGGCACATCTGAAAAACTTCTACCCTATGCAATGAGTAAATTCAGGCATATTTATAGCAGCAGTTGTCAGTATTGCACATTACCAATGCTTTTCCCCTACAATGGCCCAATGTAATATTCCCTCGACAACAATATTTTCATAGGGCTTCACTAACAAGAATGGGTCAGAGGCAACAGTATCAAGGAGATATGAAATGTCCAGATGAAGGAACTTCTCTTAATAGATAAATAATAATGGTAATAGTAATACTACATTCATACTAAGTTAGAAATCACACACAGCATGTCAATCCTTGCTAATGCTTTCAACCTAAGAAAAAAAACGTGTCACATTTTTTGCAAATGTCGATTGCCCTGCCCATCAAACACCTTCTCCAGCTCTTGGTCTTGTCGATTCATTAATGTCTTCCAGTGTTCAAAGAGCTCAGTCTCTGATTTCTGAATGTCCTTGAGTGTTCCTTCTCTCTGGATGTTACCATCTTTCATTGCAATTATCTAAGAAGTTAGAAACACAAGTGATGAGATAAATAGCCATGTATCTCTATTTATTTTAAAGCTATGTTGCTGTGTCTAGACAGAATTTTCTCTTTTCTTAAATAAAGAATACTTTTGCGAGCAATCTGTCTTTCAGGAAGACAATGAAGTTCTACCTCAACTCTATCCCCTTCACTTAAGATGTTGCAAAAACAGAAACTTCTTGCACTTCATGCTTTCAGAAAGGAAAGCTGCTTTTAAGAACGAAGAAGAACGGGGTCCCCAGCAGCAGACAGGAGAGTGCATTACTCTTCCTAAATACAAGTCATTAGCAAGATAAGATTTTAGAGTTCTCTTACCTCCTAAAAGGAAAAGGCTTTTAGCCACACACTGTGCGCAGCATGTTTTGCCCTCATTCAGGCCATTAGATATGAGCATGCTGGCTCCACCATCTGTTTGATACCAGGGACCTGATAAGGAAAAGCTAGGGAATTTGAATCCCTAAAGCTTTTAAAAGCATCCATAGTGGACACGGTGTGGAAAAAAAAGTACATATACAAGACAAAGTCTGAAGGGTGTGGTTTCCAGGTTTCTATCAGTGTAACTACATTATATACACAGTGTAACTACCTTCACTTTAGATCTGACACGGAGAATTGGAAAATGAGGCGTGTGGATTGTAAACCCACGTGATATCATTAGAAAATAGTTAACGCAGTATTTGTTTTTCTCTCTCGCTGGAAACTCAGAAATGTCCATGGGGGGATGGGAGGGAAATAGTCTATTCCACTTATTGCTAAGAATTTACACCAGAGGAAAGGGAAAAATAAAGCAAATGAGGATCTTTCTGTGGTCAATTTATTCAGGAAACCCATAACTGGGCTGGACCCTGAATTCTTCTGAGGGTTTTGCTACAGAGATTTGGGAGGGCCACCACATACACTTCAAATTATATTTTTATTTAAAATTCCTTAACAAAATAAAATAAATAAAAAAACTCCATTGGGGAAAATTTGCTAAGGCTTAATGAGAACTGTGCTTAGGAAAAAAAACGGAACTGTCTCTAAATAAATAATTTTTAATTATAAACTTAATACAAATCCTTCCTAGCCTACAGGCTGTTTGGAACAGTATATTTCATAAAACATTACTGAAACGCAATTAGATGATAATAAAAATAAAATAATTCTCAGAGAGTATCTCATAAAACACGAACACCTAGAAATGGGTCTGACACTCACAAGACCATAGCTGTGCATATTAAAAAAAAAAAATGCCAATATATAACAATTGAAAAAGAGGAAACTAAGATGGATCTCACAGGGAGGGGGAGGAGGCAAAAAATTCCTGTATCCTGAGAGACACTAACCGGAAAACCAGAACTGTGTTTAGAACAGTAGTAATTCTTAAGGGTGTATAACTGAGGGACAAGGTCACAGCGGACACCACAAAGGATAAATGCTGCCCACCAAAAACATGATCAGAACAAGATTAATGTCTATCTGCAACTTTATAGCAAGCCAATATGAAGAACAGAAAGCAGCTGAAATATGATTATTGCTTGAGACAGAGTAACGGCTGCTGTAGTCTGTGCAAGATGCAAATGACAGAGGAGGCCTCCTAGGAGGCATAACTGCAGTCATCAATCCTCGTAGGCAAGAAGACCTGTGATGTTGTGCCGGATAACTGTAGCAGAACTAAGTGCAAGGCCAGTGTGAACCAATGAACTAAAAAAACAAAACAAAACAAAACAAAAAAAACCCCCAAACCTCCTTACCCTACTCGATTTGCTTCATCTTTGACATTTGTGATTGCAAACTAGAAAGCACACCTTCATTTTTTTCTGTAAACTACAAGATATAACAAAGAAACCTAACAAAACAATTGAATGCTACACATTTCTTAAAATTTTGCCAACATACAAAGGGTAAAGATGTTCTTGATACATTATGTACAAGTACTAACTGCAAGGTAATACTGTTGTTTTCCTTATATTTCCATGCACCTCAATATCCATAAACACACCTTTTTCTGACAGCACAGACAAATTCCTAGTAACATCCCAGCAGAGGGAAATATGTTACTCAAAGATTTCGCTGTTTTGAGATAAAAAAATGAGCAAAATTTTCTGATGTAACTAATGGGTTTGGATACTCTATATTTTAAATGCAGCCTGTTTTCATGGGCGTATTAAGTATCAGCTCTATGAAAATCCAACCTATTTAGGTGTTCTAAGATGGGAATCGCAAAATTATGGCACCCCAAACTCACTGGCTAGTTTTCAAAAGTTCTTTATTATGTCTCTTCTCACTAAACTACCACTTGGTGGAAAGATGAAGCGAAAGCCTTGTTTGTAGCAAGACATAATCATGCCACATTCTTGCCTCCTCAGAAAAAACGGGAAGAGCTTTCTTACCCAGTCAGCATGGGGTAAGTACTGCAGCTTGTGAGTTACCAGCACAACGGTCCGCTTGTCTTCCCGTAGCATTTTCAGGATCCCTTCTTGCATGAGATGGTCACTTAGGTGGATATCCAGTGCGGAAAATGGATCATCCTGTCATGAGGAGAAGAGGTCAGGTTTTGGAGCTGGCATTTATGGGATTTAAGGAAACTGACATATTTTAATACCAGTAAAACCAGTTAGATCAATATAGAAAATCAAAAGGGGCCATCAGAAGATGAAAATTGTTCTGAGGAACGGTTTTCTTAAATTATATAACAACAAACCTTGAACTGTCTGCCTGCAGCGAGCGCTCAGACATACGGTAACGTCAGCTGTGTAAATGCTATGGTTTCCTGAGGCTTTCCGGGAACTGCTCCTCTCAACAGATGCGTTTCATAGCCTACATAACTGCAGTACACTGCTTCTGTCAGACTCAAGACAGTGCAGCAATGTATGTCTATGGCATATGTGACACAAACTGCTCCGGGCACAGTGACAAAGAGCACATTTTTCCTTTCCTTGTACATAATTGCCTTCTGATTTTTTTTTTTTTTGATCCATAAATCAAAACTTTGTTAACAATGAATCACAAAAGGAGAAATATTGATCAGATTGATGACTCTGCTCAGATGATTGATTTACGACCCAGATTATCTTATTGAATCAATGAATCATATGCAATTAATTTAGGCATAAGCCAATCTGCACCATCTTTTGGAGGACTTGTTTACTTAATCCTACTTACATGGAATTACAAATCTATTATTTCTGCTTGCACTACTAATGGTGGCTGTAGGATTTACTTAGTATTATTATTTCATACTATTAAATTACACTAAACCCAGGGTTTCTTAAAAATCAAATTTTGTTTCCTTTTGTCCAGATGTTTGCTGATAAATTAGGGTTGAATTTGAATTAATTCTGCTTTCTCTGAGTGACATCATTGCCACCGGTTAGTTAGGAAGAGGTACAAGCAAAAAGGTGAGTGCTTTAGAAAATCCCCTTGGATTTTTATTTTCTTCAGTTTTGCAACAATTTATATTGTGACTGCATTAGATATTTTAGTATTGTTGCTTTCATGTATCTACAAGACCAAAAATATCTGAAATCAACAGTAAGATAAATATGACCACTGCAATTCTAATAAATCAGAGCATCATAATATAGAGCAATTAAAAAGTGCTTTTGCAACACAGTAACTTCAGACTGTGATACAGAATTTATTCTCAAAAACGCGTGTGCAACTCTGTGTGCACTGTGCTCACTGAGCAAGGATGTATGCTGTCAGCTTTACTGCTGCACTATTCCAGTCTGGCACAGACCTGAAGAGCATTCTGAGCCCTGCGTTTGTGCACAGCCACCTCGTGCGCCATGTTGCACTTCTGCGAACTGAAAATGCCAGCTCACGAAACATGACGTTGCACTGTAGAGTCAGGCGAGACTGTTCATTAAGGCAGCACTCACCATATATGATTATAATGATGCATTGATTACAAGACAGCTGAAAAAAAATCAATTTGTGCTACAGGACTAGTCTGACGTGACAAATAAAACATGCTGAATGAATGAATGTAACTAAGAATAAAATACATAACGAATTATCACATGACCTTTTTTCATATCTGCAATGATCACAAGAAGTTTAGGGAACACAAAACGTTATTGAATATGAAGTGCACAGTCCTGAGAGAGAAGTTTCATAAGCATTTGTTTACAAAATCAGTCTTAAAAGAACTCAGTGTTTGCAAATACTAACATATAGGATTCCTGATTATTTTTGAAAGATAATAACTGGAAAAAAGTTGTACTGTAGGTGCTTTTACATTATCAAACCGTAAGAGAACCTGCTACAATTAGGAGATTATCGAGGTCCTGCACAAAAGGACAAAAGTAACGAAACAAGTTACAGCCAGTACTGGGTCTGCTGATTTGCAGCCCAGTGCTCTCTACCCTCCTGCATTCTGGTCAATGCCCTGCACATGAAGCAAGCACATATTGATCAGTCTAATTACAGGGAAAGGTCTAAGTAACCTCCCAGACTTTTAGGGATGACCTCTAATGTGCACAGCTCTTCTAATCCCATGTGACTCATATCTGGCTGTCATAACAGCTGGATTCAAAACTCCTTGAAAACTGAGCTTAAGAAGGAAGTCCTAAAAGGAAAGCCAGCAAGCTCACTACTAGTGAGCATGTAGGATGCATCCGTTTTCCCACTTACTAAGTTTTTAGAGCCTGACCTCACTCCTTTTTCCATAGCACTTCTGTTGAAGTTGGGACAGGATATACGACAAGCAGTTCAGGGTGGGAACACAGCTTAGTTTGTTGCAGAAAGGAAACACCCCAGACACAGGACAATATTAATTTTAGGCCTGAGACAGCTTAGGAATTTTATGAATACAGATGAGACTATTAAATTTCTAAGTACCAAAGAGAAACAAAAGGGTCAAAAAGAAATTTCAATAGACTGAGAGGGGAAGCATCAGCATTTCAATTTGTATCCTAGTATCTATCTGTCTGTCTGCAGCATTTACAAAATGCTTCCTACATGCAAGCTAGCTAACAATGGATATAAAATAAACAATGCACATTTGGCTTAGCTTGGTGAAGCACAGTGTTCTGTGTCATCCATGAAATACTCTAAATTCTTGCATCTTGTGCTCGTGTTTACAGCACAAACGTAATGGCACCTACTCACCAGGAACACAACATTTGTCTGCTGGTAAAGTGCTCTTGCCACACTGATACGTTGGCGCTGCCCTCCAGACAGATTAATACCCTGGAGATAAGTAGGAGAAAAACAATCAGACAGTTATAAAAACATCAATTATATATTTATATTTTGATCAGATTATCCACAGAAGACTTTCTGCACAAAGAAACCCAGAGAAATTTTTCAAAAGTGTGGGCCTGCAATTCGGCTGGGACACAGTACACAAATTGTTATCCGGAGCTGTACTCCATACATTCCAGAGGGATGGGAAATGTTTAATGGTTTGTGGTGACATAATGGTGTAGGTGGCATGGATATTCCGCAGGCAGTCTAAACTAGACTTCTAACTCACAAGTTAGCCTTATGAGTCTGGCTGTGTCATGTTTTTTATTTATTTTTATTTTTATAATCCTATGTTGTCACACTATATCAGCTCCATTATGTACTGTAATCAGTAATTGCTAGCTGGGAGGTCAGACCGTGCTGAGGTGAACATTACCCGGTTGCTGTTGTACTTGTTTTTGACCCTTAGTCCCCTGCTACCACCCTGCTCTAAGTTACTTATCCTTCCTGTGATCCACCTGCAGTTTCACAAACATCTTAAGCTCTCATAAGCCAGTCCTGCTGCCAAAAGACGCTACCCCACCTCTTCCCTCCCCTCCCCTCCTTCTGTCAAAAATCATTTGTTTGGCTACACAACGAATTGGGTTAGGAACTAATCCATTTAAAATTAACATGGTAGCCTGTGTGGAGATTAGGCATGGAAATGTACCCTTAAATGTATCTGTGTGTGGAATGGTTTGTTGTGTTTTTTGGTTTTTTTGTTTTGTTTGTTTGTGACAGTGCCAGTATATGCCAGAGTAAATTGTTTACAAATTTGTAACTTGTTTCCTTTCTTGTCACTCCCTAATCTTCCCTGATGTGATAAAGCTTAGTTTGCTGTTTATTAAACACCTGCTCTCTTTTAAATGAAGGGGCTCTAAAAATCTCTGAATTATTTAGTTTTATGTTACTCCTAAAGAAACCAAAAAATGCACTGTGAAGTCAGGATATCTGAGACAGCAGCCACAGAATTAGTCAAACATTCTGAGAGCAGCAGATTTAAATTATTGCATCTCACATAAATGACAGTGTTTCCATGTTTACTGAGCAATGAGCTTTCAGACTAATGACCCAAACGTACACTCAACTAAAAGATTACCTTTGTTGCCAAATAACCAGTAAGACTTTAAGAACACAACAAAATAATAAAAAACCCTCTATATATTTAAAACAAAAATAGAAGCCTGTAGCTGTTTACTGACCCTCTCTCCAATCTGGGTTTGGTCTCCATGAGGGAGAATGTCAATATCAGGCTGGAGGGAACAAGCATCAATTACTGCTTTGTACCTGCAGAAACAAAAAAGGTAATGCAAAACCCACACAGATACTGCTAAAGAAGCACATTTCCTACCTGCAGAGGAACAAAAATTAACCAGCTGGAAAAATCACACAGTGGAAAACATATTTGTTAGCCACTAATTGTTCTAATGGGATCTCTTTCAATCACAGGCAAGTAAATAATATTTCAGCTAAGAAAAGGCATCTTAGGTCAGCTTCCCAATTAAAAATATTTAATAGTTAAAACCAGGCAAAACAAGCACAACTTCTTCCATGGTATATTGTTATTGTTTAGCATTTAACTTTTTTCATGCCCAGGGCCTTTCTTTCTTGTTTCGATAATCCAAGGATGACAGAAAAAATGTGTGTAGGATGTGAATACATAGCCAACCGCTTCTTAAGGGCACTGGGGATGGAATACCAGCAATTAACTTTTAAATACTTTAGAATGTTTGGTAGGCATTTATACTGAATAAAAAGGCAGCCCATTAATCTTTCACAATATACCAAACACTGAAACTGTAATAAACAACTTTCCCACTCCCGAACAGCTAATGTCCTTCTAAGACAGTTAAACCAGTCAATTAGGTATAAGAAGAGAATACTGCATGCTGCACAAACACGGTGCTGCGAAATGAAAACAATTCTACACTTGAGTTCAAGTGACACTGAACTCTGTCCCTTGTGTCCCTCAGGAAAAACATGGTCGAAGGGGGACTGCGCAGAACTCAAGGTCTTTTGTCATGTTCAAGCAGGTGCAGCACATTTGTTACTGGAGGGAGATGGGGACCCACATGCGTGAACTGAGGCCTATGCGACTCCTTTATTTAGCGAAAAGGGGAGTAAAGCATGTACCAGTGCTGAAACCTGTTACCTCTGTTTGTTAAAAGGGCTTTCAAATGTGATATTCTCTTCCACTGTGGCATTGAGCAACCAAGGCTTCTGTGATGCATATGCTACTGATCCTCTTTTCCTGGGGGGAAAGAAGAAGGAGGGAAAAAAAAAAAAAAAAAGAGTTCCCAGCTTACCAGTGCAGTAGGCATTTTTGGAAACCATTTTCTTGTAAAGGAAGAAACTGGTACTAAGTCTTCAAAAACAGTCTTTCATTTTTGTTCTTTAGGACAATCAATAGTCTCCCATCAAGGAAATACATAAAATGTTAAATTTCCAACAGAATACTGAAATTGTTCACCTAACTGAATTTCAGTTTGTTCCCTCTTTTTCTGCTGAGAGGTGGGTTTTGGAGAGGCTAGCTCAGCAGAGCTGCCTCTTGAGCAGTGCAGATGGCAGGCAGAAAATTACCAAAGACCGAATCTCAGCTCGGTTTGGATAGACTAATAAAAACATGTATAGCAGATCACTAGTTAGGCAACACATTTCAGGAGGCATGTTCTAAAAAGGTATTTTTAAGGTGTTTAAAAAAAAAAACAACTCCACACATGCAGAAAGGCAGTTCCAACCCCCCCCCCCCCCAACACATTTATTTTCCCCATTCTAAGTAGAGAACTTGAGTCATAAAGTAAATGGATAGCCATGGCTAAAATCTTTCTATGTCTATAAAGACAAGAAAAGAAAACACAAACAAAAAATATTTGCTAAATTTCCCCCTGTGGAATTGCCCCCATAATGTACCATTAGAAGGGTATGGTCAACAGGATCTCACCATGCATATTTTGTTTCATAGGGATTATTATTACTATTTAAAAATAAAAGTATCTGCCTGCTAGTGAAGTAGTAGTGCTTTGGTGGCTGTTGTGCACTAAGGACCTCAGTAAGGCAGAGCTGGGAGAAAGGCAACATTTTTTATTAGAGCAATTGATACTGTTGGAAAACTCATTGGCATATCACTGTTTCTCCAGAAAAGGGCCAAAAGAGGGATCATACGCCTAAAAGCATATCCGTTTTCTTTCCTGCTATATCAGCTAATCCAACAGGATCTCTCACCCAAACGTAGCCTTTGTCTGCTAGACAGCCATTACAGCAGCCTCTTTCTAGTTGGACCTGGATGCAATTCAAACCATGAGCTGCCAAAATACACCAGGCACTTTATCTTTTTTTTATCAGGAGTTAAGGTCACTTGCCCTGCTCATTTTTTCAGGCTTTCACCAAGCTTGCTTAGAAGTCATTATAGGATCCAATTTTCCTTGATGACCTGAAAGAACACACAGTTACGCTACACCGCTAACATGCTTCCAAGTTCAGATGTCTGATGGCTCATTAGAATTTAATTATGTTTTATGAATTTTCTTTATTGGAAAATGAAACAGAAACAAAAAAAGAAAAAAAAAAGACATAAAAAAATCTCCTAAGCAGCCCAGCCCACAGTCCCAAAATCTAATTCAAAGAGGATTCAGTTCTGCCTCAAGAGGGAAGCATTTTTTCAATTAGTGTGAAATTCTCATCCCAATGATTGAGAAAAAATTGCTCTGAGCATTCCAAGACGAACATGTATTCCCTTCCCCTCTTTCTCATTACTTGAAACTGTGCCTTTGCTGCTCTTAATTCCCAATGTGATTGAAAAGTTACTTCTAATTTATTTTTTGAAAAATAGTAGCAAAGTTTTGAGGAAAGTGTTTTTAGAACTTTTGTAAAAAGTGTTCGTTTGTTCAGTGAAGATACAGGCACTGCCAGTACGATACACTCCATGCTGAGAACCAGCACAATGCCTGGGAACACCATTCATGTTTGGCTTACATTCTGCTTTCAGGACATCAGTGAGAATTAATTACTGCAAGGAATTTGGGAACAAGCAATGAGCTTGCCAAAATTCATTACAGATTTAGAATTTAGCAAACCGCTTTTAAATTAATCTTAATTGCAAATTGACACTAGGATGACATACAGATCATATTTTGTCATAAGCAAAAAGCTTGCAAGTGCTTGATCATATGAGAAATCTATGCATGTCTACAATGCTTCTTACAGTAAAGAGGCAGTCAAACACAACTTTTACTGAAATTGTAATAAACATGTGGCCAAAAATCCGGAGAACAAAATATTCTGAAATGGAGTGTGCAACACTTTCTCTGAAAGCCTTGAACTTACCTAAGGTTTTATGCTTAAGACTGAATGCAAACAAATGGCTTAGCAGACAAAGACTTACAAGAAATTTATTCTGCAGGTGGAAGTAATTGCCTCCTACCCCCAGACTGCATAAACAAACATGTATTTTCATCAATGGAGTATAATTTTTTTCCTCCGTTACACAAGACAGACTGATCATAGCCTCTTAATTACCACAAAGAGGCAGACAGCAAAATCCAACTTTATAATAAATAGGGAAAACCTTCCCTGAGCTGCCTGGAGACTATGCACTTTGGCTAATATAGGATCAAACCTGTTCATTAATTTAGAATCAGAAACGACATTGTCAAGATTGTTTGTTTAAAGTTATTAATCTAACTCTACCTTCACATTTCATTTTGTTAAGTCCAGTAGGCTCAGTACGCATTGAAGATCACTGAAAATAAGACTAGTTAAGGGACATTCATGTATGAATCTCAGTGCCTTAATAAACCTACCAAGTCTGAAATGTTGGCAATTTTTAAAAGAAAATAGATGCACTTGAAACGCAATGGAGTTATGATTATAATGATAGAGGAAATAATACATTGCAAAGCCTTTCCTGTGTGTTTTGGATTGCTGACTACAGTTTTATCTTGATTATTTTGCACAATTCATGAATTTCTAATATCAGCCAACAACTCAAAATAAAATGTTCTCCAGATATGAGAGAAATGTGTACTGTCCTGCCCTATACTATTACTGCCTGAACAAAAAAATATGCTTCCATTATTTTCAGCCTGATGGTAGGTAATAGAACATTCTGATATTGCCAGTTCTGAGTATTCAGGAGCATACCTTTTTGCCGTTATTAAACTGCAAGGGTCACTTGCTTGTTTTTACTTCTAAATCTTGCAGTAGCTGCATACAGAGACAACCCATTTGCCTTCTAAGGAGGAACAACTCATTAAGTGCAGACCCTTCTGAAGAATGTTCACAGAGTTACACAATGGCTGAGGTTGGAAGGGACCTCTGGAGGTTCCCATCAGTTTTTAAAGTGTTGTACCTGAATTCCATGTCAACAGGAGATTCTTTCTCTGGGCTGCAGAAAACAAACACAAGTTGTTTTTTTTTTAAAAAAATTCAATTATTTTAGACAATGCAAATAATACCTCAAAGTATTAACACTATGCTATAATTAAAAATACAACAAAATAACTGATTAACAGAAATAACACTCTCTTAAGTATGCTAAAATTCTGTACTACGTGATATTGACCTAAAAAAGGTATGGTTAAAGCTTCAGTTTTGAGAAGCGCTAAACAACCTTGTAGAAAGTATTCAACACCTATGAGCAAATGCTCAGGGCCTCACAAGACTTTGGCTCAAAACACACTCTGTTCTGACAACACCAAAAACGTTCTACAAGATGCTAGTGCAACAAAAGCACCAGACATATTCCTACAGCACTTACCCAACATAACTAGGATTCCCAGAACCTATGATAATGTAGGTAACTGTTTCATACCGTTTAATATCCTCTCCTACTGTTTAATACGCTTGCCTTACTGTTGTGCATGTTATCCCACTGTTTGCTGTCCATCCCCATAACAGTTTCAAACACGTGAATGTCTAATTCTGATAATATTTCTCTTGTATCTTAATGGGTTCAAATGGTTTCACTTTAACTTGGCCCAAAAATTGCAGTTTCTCTTATACAGAAAGAACTGTGAGATTTCCAAGTATCCTTTACCATGAGGCTTAGTTGTTAGACACATGAAACTCCTTATACTACACACAGATGGGAGCAGAAGTTTTGCAGGACTCAGTCTGACAACCAGGTAATGAGTCTGAGAAATAAGGTAAATGGGAGAGAAGAGCCTGATAAATCTAAAGAAAAGGCAGTAGAATAGTTGGTGCGTCACAGAACCAAGAAAATATTCTGGTCAGTAGAAGACACACAGTTTAGCATAAGTCAAGAAAAGGGACGTCATATGACATTTTTCCGCTACTGACTTCAGTAACAAAGTTCTCACTGACTTCAGCAGGGATAGGATTGTCACTTTTACAAGGTTTACCATTCTGGAGGTTTGTGTGCCTCACTAAAACGACAACCATGTCAGAAAGCTTTGCTCTCAGTTGATTTGTAGATATTCCCCAAATCCAAGCTGAGCTACGTTAATCAGGTAAAAATAATTCCATGCAAGGATCCCTTGCCAACAGATGGACTAATCTGCTACTCCCCACACTTTCAGTTTGTGTGTGCCTGAAGAATGCTAGGTGAGAAAATAAACTTATGACAGGATGTAAAAAATGAAGAGAAGGGTAATGGGGAGAATTTGCTTTAATAAATGAAACCTTTAAAGCAATACTTGATATTATGTTTTAAAGCACAGCATTAGGAAATAATCTGGTTCGGAGTTTAAGAGAAGGATTTTCAAAGACATGCACGGAAGTTAGGATACAACTTTCAAAATCGCCAAATGGCAATGTTTTCATAAAGGAAATCCAGCTCTTATTTTCATAAGTCACATAGGTAGTTTCAAAAATTGTATCCTAAGCTAATTAATGCAGTGAAAGTTTCCTTGGTTTTCAGAATTCTGACTCTGAAAATGCTAAGCATAGATTTTAGAAACCTTTGGTTCCTTCTGTTGCAATCGATTTAGTAGGAAGACCAATAATCGCATACAATACCATACCTGACATCTTCCCCCGTCTCACTGTCAGAAGTACAGCTGCATCACAAATAGAAAACAAAGACTGTTTACTTAAGTCAGCACAGGCAATCTGCCTCAGAAAGAAAAACTATTAAATTCCACTTAGTGCACAGACTGCAAACAGTATTTATCACAGAGCTGCAGCACAGCATCTGTTCCTTCTACAGAAACTGACTTGATTTTAGCAGTCAAAAAAATTTGGTAACAGGTTTTTTTCCTTATAAACATTTAATTTGACTCAACAAATAAAATCACCTCCACTTTGTCCTGGAGATGCTAACAGAACTGAGAAGTCCCAGCGTGACAAGAATGCAGTTCCATTAAAAAAAGGACATGTTCAGGGAAAACAAACTGATAATTTGTGATACTGTATTTTTCCATGGCAGTAACTGCACCCCTGCAGCATATAATGGGTTAGTTTGAACTCCAAATCCCACCTTCAGTTGACTTGCAACATGCTGCGTTCTGTATTAGCCCTATACTTGGGGAGATGTTCCTGTGTAAGTAAGTGTGGGCAGGTCTGAGGGACAGAGAGGTTTTGTTTCCGCTGGTTTTGAACATGTACCAGGATGTTCACAGAGTTGTTTTGACAGGATGACTGGCCATACTTATTACTGATGCTAAATTCAGTTCCATTGAAAAGAATGAAAAATCTGTGTGTGAAGTGGTATAAACAAAATGAAGAAGGAACAACGTTTTTCATGCTTTAAAGAGAACAGTCTCATTAACTTTATGCTAACACCTTTTGCTTATAAATATCCAGGAAAGAAAACTACACCTGCAGTTTAAAAAGTTGGTTTGAGACACTTCCAAAAGTAAGCAATGACCGTATCTAAATTCAATTTACTATAGAATTTGAGAGCGCCAGCCAGCCACTAGTATCTTTTGCCGAAGGTCAGTGTACCGAACAAAGCTTTTCCACAGTTACCTCACACTCCACTCATCTCTAGTGACTGTGTGAACTCAGTGGCACCTTCTCCAAAAACCCATGAACCTGTTGCACATCATTAAGTAGCAACACATTCTTTACAGAAACTATTAAGGGGCTGAAACAGGGAATATCTTTTCCAGCTCTTCCACGCACAACACAAGGACCCTGAATGGCAAATATCAGTTCCTCCTTCATGGACCACCCCAAAGAAGGCCAGGCACCCATTCTACCAGGGAACACCCTGATAACTTGCATCCCCTAGTACTTGTGCATGACAGTAACTCCCTCTCCACTGTGCTCTTTTTCTACACCAGCCTGCGAGACAGGCAGAAAACTGTGCAGCTCATATAATCCATCAATGTAGCTCAAGAAGCAAAGATCAGCCAGAGTCCCTCGTGGCTAGCAGAATTTACCTGTGCTTACTGCAGGTGTGCAACTTAGCTCCCGTTTCCGCTCAGAAAGCAGGGCAAAGCGCCATGCTCACAGGGCACGAATGATTCTCATAGAGTAACACGAGGTGCAGCAGTGCACAGCAATGCCCCGACTTCCTCTGTTTACCATGTTCTTTTGCTGTGCAGCCACGGGTGCCACAATTTTCGTATGCAAGTATTGGTAGATCAATTCCCTGATCTGTGTTTCTGTTCTGTAGCTGGAAAAAATTAATTCTCCATTTGGAGTTTTAGCTCAGCCTTTTCAACCCACTTTTTCCCACTTTGACTTTGTTTTATCCCTCCTTTCTCCCTTTTCCTGCATACTCCTGGCAATGAAGGATGCGTTTATCTCCTACCAGTGTTGAAATGTCAAAGTAATGTATGTTTGATAACGAGGTCTAGATCTGATTTTTCAAGGCATATGGATATCTAAAGATGCAAATATGTGCCTACTGAGATTTTCAAGCTTTCAGATCTCTATTTCCAATTTAAATAGAATTAAGTACCTGAATGTTTCTGAAAACTCCAGTAAGCACGTATTTATAAAAAATCAATGTACTTTTTAGGTATCAAAATAACTTTAAAAATATTGTCATTTGATGCAAATAGTCAACTCCACATCGAGTAGAAGATCTACTGTTAACAACCTTAACAAATCTAGCACTTCCTTTACATTATAAGGACTCTAGATTCACATGGGAATATATATGTCCTGTTTAGAAACAAATGACATAATTTTGTTTGAGCAAACTATTTCTCGTTTGGATCAATTTTCTGACATTATTTACTCCAAAAAGACTTATACTATAAACTGCTCCCTGGACTTGAACTGGGACTATTTAAAGTGAGATACTGCCCAGAAGAAATTAGTATGGCATATACTATAATTATTTACTCAATAACCAGTCAAATCAATATTATTTACCATCTGTTCAGAATGGAAATAATGATTTCTCTATTTTTGTTAATCTCTAGCCGTATTATAAAATATTTATGCTGAGATGTTCTCAGCCTGCTTTGGACAAGGGTCAGTAACCTGAGCGGGATCTTGCAGGCACACACTGTAATACAAACAACACAATAAAATCACAAATGAGCCAGTGCTCACTTCTGATTAGCTGGTTCCTAATTACATTTCTTTTTAGGGTTTTGAAACAAATAATTTTTCTAGGAAGCAAATAAAGATGATATGCAGTTAATCCTGTTTTATCAATAGAGCATGGAGGCACAGAGGAGGGAAATGACTTGTGCAAGGTTATCCATTAGACCAAGGGAAGGGCCAGGAATAGAATCTAGATTTCCTGAGCACTGAGTGACATGTCAGCAGGATGTATCCTTCGTCTTCATAGCTGTGACCTTGGAGGAAGGGAAGGGGGAGGAAATTTGGAATTAAATAATTCAGGACTGTTCTGCAACGTGAATGACTGAAGCCAAGCATTTGTCTCATCCCAAAGAAAGAGCTGTAACAAGGATCTTACTGATTTCAGTGACACATTTTATTACCTGAGCTAAGGCTACGAGCTCTGGTGATTACTTGATAAGACTACTCTCCTTGAACCTGGGATAATGTTGCATGTACCTGGTCAGGCATTAGTATTTTCTTATCAAATTAAGGGAGCTTTCATCTGATAGCTTTACAACACAGGTGTGCAGCCTACACTGATTGCATCTATCATCCTGAATAGACCAGTGCACATGGTCAGCTCTGAAAGATGAGACAAAACATAATCTCTCCCAGTGCAGCCAGCACTTACAGTGCTAAGGTTGTTTCAGCCACAAGCCCCTTTATACATATCTGACAGATAGCAAAGCAAATGTGATAACAACTGAATTTTACCTTGTGATACTTTGGCACATACAGAAGACATGAAAACCAGTTCTGACCTTTGCACTGTTGCGAAGCACATACTTCTAAACAAGTGCTATTTAAAAACACAGTTTGATCAGAACTATCATGTCATCTGTTTTAGTTTAGCACCAGACATTCAAATTATCTTCTTAATCATGTTATGTCAACTGTAAAGAACTACAGCCTTGCTGAAATGAAATTAGCTCACCTAATAAGGCTGCAGGGATTCTGTATCGTTCTTCACCATACTCCGATTTTCTGCTTAGGGAAGTATGTTTTAATGGATAGATCACCACATTCTGGAACTTTGGCTTCTGTTCTTGTCTCTCTCACCAGCTGAAAGGGTCACCTTCCTATGTTTCAGTTTCCCCACCTATAAAATAGGGAACCTTCCTTCCTTGTACTATTACTATTAAAGCATGCGTAATTCTTAGTAGTGTGACCGGCTTACGCAGCAAGGCTGAATATAAATAATATCTCTCTACAAGCTCTCAAGGAATTTGAGAGAATTGTTTCACGAAATCAGTGCAGAACCCACTGGGTAACAATGATCCTCTGTCCATCAGAGTGCGTGGATTTGACTTACAGTTGCACTGATGTTCCTTCAATCCCAATCAGTTGGAAATAAAATTGTTTCTCTATGTTCTTCTACAATTTGTCAAGCTTTACCTACAAATAATTATATCCCAAAAGGCAAAGTGTAGTCTGTATGGCTAGGAATTCTAGTGCTGTAAAACAAACAAGCCAAAAATGTTCACACACATTGATCAGACAGTGTACTAGAGATGGCAGTAATTTACTGGAAACCACATACAGGAGTTGCAATATATTATACCACTTGTCATTTAGTTTGAGGGCCAAGACACTAAGCCCAAACAGTACAGCTGCTGGAGTTCGGTAGCATTTGTCTTCCTCCCTTCATGGCCAGTACAAAAGTTAGAGACAAGTATAATCTATAACTGGCTGTCAGAGCGCAGCTGCTGTGTCCCCTTGGGAAAGGAGGGAAGGACATGATTATCTCCCTCTTGTCAAATCAGGGATGCACTGGGGGAGTACCCTGAGGTCACTGCCACTTATAAAAAACTCTTCAATTTCTCAGGCACTAGACCAGTACTGGGATGGAGCACACACCTAAAAGCACAGCCAGGGACCACTCCTGGTGAGCCGGTACCTCTTTATAGTTCCATTCAAACACATAAGCTCAGGCCTGAAAGTGCAAATGCCATTCTGTAACAGCACAATACTTCAAGCTAATTAATTCTGATTCCAAATTAGTTACGATTTCACTCAGGTTATGTTGCTGGAGTGCAGAATGCCCAAGTATGTTTATCTATTCCTATTAATGGAATAGATAGCTTGTTTGACCCTGGCAGGGGTTCTTTCTGATGTGCTCCCCTACCACTTAGGGTAAGGTTTTTATCCTGACTGTACACCTACAAAATCCCTGACTCCACAAACAGGTTCCCAGGATAGATTTTGGCTTTTTTCTGCATTATTATTCAACTCAAACTTGAATTTTTAAATAGCATTACCTGCTCCAGAATATGTTCCCAGACATCTTCTGCATCTCACCAAGTATGGCTAGCAAGAGAGATGACTTACCGCAACCAACCTGTCCTACAATCATTGTTAGCTGACCTGTGAGAGAGGAAGGTCATATAAGCTTCTGATTTACCAAATGCTCATGAAAAAACATCTTATTCTGTATAATTGATGTCATTTTGTACCTTGAGGGATTCGGATATCAATGTTGGACAATGCTGGAGGACCTTCAGGTGTCCAAGTGAAAAATCCATTTGTGATCTACGCCAAGATGGAGAGAAATAAGAAACAGAAAACCAGTTTTAGAGCTGACTTTTCAACATCAGAGGCACTTTTTCTGTTTTCATTACTGAGCATAGGAACAGAGTTAGCCTTTGCTCAATGCAGGAAACAGATCTTCAAGTGACTGATTTTGTAGAGGCCTGCATTCTGATGTGCAAGAATCTCTGACCTCAAACAAGCACAACAATTAGAAAATTATGGAAAATTCCTGAGGAAAAAGAAGTTGCTGTTTAGGGTTTCTTTTGTTTTGTTATTTGTAAGGTGGGCACATGAAATAAGTTAAATGACTACGACATGATTAAAATATACAGGGTCACGGTTTGCTCTCTGCAGAGCACGGAATGTCACTCTAGACACACTGCAGCATATAGAGCAATTACACAGTCCAAATTCCAAGCAGATTTGCAGAATTTTCCACTGAAATCAGATGTTGCTGCCTATTACAGTATTTTCCTTTGTATTTCTGATATGATTCTCAAATAACCTAGGCTTTGCTAGATACAGAAATCTTTTCACTGAAAAAGACTAAAAACAAGAAACAAAGCCTGTTCAGGACTTTAAATGGAGGAGATTTCCATGGATACTGTGAAAAACAGGAAACAGGAGACAATTTTAAAAGGCCTGTATTTATACAGGACCCTCTTCTCTCACTTTTTCAGAGCCACCGAAGCCTTCAAAGCCTTTCAGCAACGCAAGGTACAACATTTTTTGATCTCAGAAGAGTGGAATGGGACACTTTTATCCTACCCTGGAGAAAAAAAGTGATGCTCTCATCTTGGGAAACAACCTGAAAGAGAATGAGCAAAAGAAAGTGCAGTGTTCCTCCCTCTAGATTACCGAAGGCAGCTGGAAGATCCTCTCTCAAAAAACACCCCTTCAGGGGCAATGAGCTGCAGACAGACAGTACCTAGTAACTGCAGAAGTTCCCTGACCCAGGCGCCACCAGTGACAACCATGTCAGCAGATGGAGCCAAAGATTATAGCTGGTCCTGGCTTTCTATTCAAGACCTTACAAATACTGTCCTTACAGAGGTTACTGCTCTGGCCTCTCCTTTGCGACAAACCCCTTTGTTGTCACTCCAGGCTGTCTTTTGATCCAACACCCCACTCAAACTCCTCTCTCCGATATTCCTCTTATTTTCCTGGAAGTCTATTCAAGAAGGATCCTGCACCAAAGCAGCATGTCAGATGACAGCATCTAAAAAAAGCCTGAAAGCACTACCAGTTGTCCTACTTAGTCCCATGAAACTGAATTATTCATTCTCTTGTCTCGGAAATGCAAATGTAATAGCAGGCTTCCTAAATAAACAGCATCATCACTATAACAACCATCAGGATTTTTATTACTTCTGGCCATTTCTATAGCAAATCAAGAGCATAAGTCTTCAAAGTGGCACAGGTAATTTTAATTTTTCCTTCAAAGAAGTTAGGTCTTTGGGGGTTAGTTTTTAACTTCATCTTGAAAGGCTACCAGGAATTTCAAAAGAGGAAGGGAAGATGGATGACAAGATTATTTTAGGAATGTCTAAAACAAATTCTTTTAGATTTTCTTCATACCATTTTTCTGTAAAGGCACTGGAAATGGAAGAAAGAATCTGGCATACATAAAAGGTTGGACCAGATGATCTTTTGAGGTTCCTTCCAACCTGGGCTGTTCTATGTTCTAAGTTGGAAATTTTTGTCATGAGAACAGGGCTAATGACTTAAACACTTCAAATAGAAAATTGCTGAGTGAAGTCTAGAGGGATATACACAGCTAATCACAACATAAAGGTCAGTAGTCAACTCTTAAAATGGAAGACATAGAAAAGAAAGGTGGAGGTTAATCTCTGACATAAGCACAAGTGTCTGACAGTTCACATGGAATGCTGGTTCTTGAATTTGAAACTGCCATCAGAATGCAAAAGTGACTATTAGTGAGCTATAGTAACAGTGTTATTAGAGTGACCTTCATATCACCTTTACACAAAAATCATCTGCTTCTGTGATGTTAATGGGTCTTCTCATGTGAGAGCTGTAATTGTTCCAGTCCTCCCTGGCAGGCTTCTTGCGGTTAACAACTTTGAGTGGCTGTGCAAAATCAGAAAGACAGAAATAAGCAATAATTGGTGGCAGTACCAGCAAAATGTCCTAAACGCAAGCAACCATGCTATGACCTATACAGTTCAGAGTATTAAAAAGAGTTTTTGCAATTGCAAGAAATAATCTGTAGGAAATGGAAAAATAAAAAATTTATTCTGGGTACAAATCACTCCAGCCACTTCACCTGCAATTAAACAGCACTACTCACCACCGCCTGGTATTTGTTGTGATTATCTGCACTTCTTAGCTCTGAAGATTTATCATGCTCTTCTCCAATTTCCTCACTTGACAGGAATTCACTCAGTTTCTGAACACTGAAAGGGAAAAAACAGAATCACACCTCGGCCTGGAATGGCAAAACTTTTGTTCGCTGCCATGTTTATTATGGAGCATCACTTTTAGTATTTCAACCGCTGTCTGCTGCATAGTTTGTTTTCATTTTGTTACAGGCATATGAAAACGTGCAATGAGAAGTTACTGCAAGGAAGTTGACAAAACCTGCTCTGTAGTCTATTAACAGCTATGATATTTTAATGGTTTGTATAGATGCTTCTCAAGTCTTGTCTTTTCTGATACCACCACAGGGATTACACGAAAGATTTTTTCAGGCATTTGGTGGGGTGCAGACCAGCTACAACAGTAGCTTGTTTTGAAGCCGCATGCTGAAGTAGAATTAATGTTATTTATATTACTGAAGTGTTGCACAGTCAGTTCTACCGAACAGTCTTATGAACACCAGCACTCTGATGAAATCTGTACACCGTGAGCTAAATTCAACCAGCTATGATGAAATACGAAGTGTATGAGTTAACATGGTAAAGGAACATACCTTAAACAGAACAGTGTTCAACAGATGAGATATAAAAGGAATCCTGACAACCAGTAAAAAGGAGACGGTATAAAATCTTCACAGGCTGCTTAAGATTTAATTAGCTAAGAGATAATGTGCCTTTATTATGACATTTAACAGATCATGACATCAATTTTATCTCTGTGCCTGACTTTATGAAATGTATGTCTAATCTACTCACAGGGACAGCAAATGAAATTTGTAAAGGAAGTGGATTGAATCATGAACTCAACATCAAAGGGGCTCAATCAGCTCAAAATAAGTTAACTACCAGTTTCCAAAATGATAAAGTGCCAGAAGGCCATAAGTTCCTAAAAATAAATTTATGGACAAGGACTGAAAAAATTGGTTTCAATATTTAGCCATAGGCTAATTGGGGAGAAACAGGCAAATGATGCCACTGTAGCATAGTGATACATGGCTATCTGCTAGTACGCAAATCTTAAAAAATAAAAATAAACCCCCCAGCATTTATTTTGCATTCCACTACCAGGGATTTCTTCTTCAGAAGGAGACTTAGTTTCCTCTAAGAACCTCATGAGATATCCCACTGGTGCTTGGACCAAGGCAGTACAGAATTGCCTAAGGCAGACTCCCTGTACTGTTAGCACTTGTCCTGCATGTAGAGATCAAAGCCACCTGGGGACTCCCTAGGAGAGAGCTGGTTCTACAGTTTTTCTGTCAACCTGCCCACTTGCTAATGGCAGCTGAGGACTAAGAGATATACAGTGGGGTGAATTTAGCTAGAGCAGGTACTGCAATCTAAGCAACTGAAAAGAAGGAGAATAACTATTTGGAATGGGACAAGAGGAGTAACAACTAGTTCAGGCTCAATGTTGGACCAAAATTCCTTAATGGGAAGGTCTACTATCTCAAAGGAAGAAAGCAGAAGCCCCATCACTAGAGATATTTATACCTATTTGCACAAAGCTCTAGAAAACAGGGCTAGGAATGATCTTACCTTTTTAGTTCAGTGAATCAGATGTTTAAAAGAACATTTAAAATGTCTTTAAATGGACCAAATGATGGTTTAGATGCTACTTACATGGAGTTGGTATGCAGCTGCACCTACATTCTCTATAGGAAAACTACACTGACATTTGAATAATTGCCCTGAAGGTATAAAGAGCAGATAGATAAGTCCCCTGTGATCTATACCCTGCTCCAGGGTCTAGAGCGGGAGGAAGAGAAGACAGAGAACATGTTCTTGGACCATGCATACCCAAACAAGACCATGTCTCTATTAAGTCATTCAATAGTTTGATTTTTGCTTTCTGCTCTCTGGTTATGTATCAAGGTGACTGTACTCTAAGTGCCAAGACTTGTCTCTGCCAGCCCTCTGCCCAATGCTCTGCTTTATTCTGGAATTGCTGCTCCTGTGGCAATTACTGAGGAAACACAGTATGGCTGTGAGAAAATCTTTTGTTAGAGACAGCAACTCATATTTCAGGATGCCACACCATTCTACACTCTTAAAGAATAAAAAAAGTACATTCTTCTGCAGAGCTCTCGCTGACATCACAATTTCACTAGTATTCCAATATCTCCATGGGGGAGCTTATTTTTAAGCCATGGAATAGACGTATTGATTAAAACATGGTTATTTGCACAGCTGACTGAAAAACCAGTTTCATATTAAACCCAGTAAGATACATAATGCCATTCTTGCTACTTGACCTTTGCTGATGGAAAATTGCACACTGTACCCTTTGTCCTTGAAGACCTCACATTTAAGAAATACATCAATTGGCTGCTCAGTTTTAATTTTCAATGGCACAAACACTCTACATATTAAAAAAACTTTTCAAAGAGATAACAGAATTTCCTACCTTCCTAAAGACTTTCAACAGTTCCCCCTCTCAGAAGTAAACACCCTAGCCCCATAACTTGGAAAGTTTGCAGGGACCCTAGGTGGAACAGAAGCTTTAAATCTGTTTTACATTGGAATCAATCACACAGTTGTTCTGATAGTGTCAATGACAATCCATGAGGATGCTTTGCAATTGGGCACATGTGCAATGATTAAAGATACTGACAAGTTTATTTGTGGAGATTATTGCCCTTAATAGCATCTGGCATCAGACACTATAGCCAATATTAACAGAGCAGGGGTTGTGAAGTGCATGAGATGCAGAGCCAGTAACACCCTCTTGGTATCATTTATGTGCTGGTTTCGCTGCTGGATCAGCTTCTGCTTCGCTTAGTTCCTTTCCATCACTACAGGAGAAGCTGTCTTGTATACTTGCTAAAAACAAATAGAACATCTCAGTCTAAAGAAAACTGAAGTACAACTTTATCAAGTTAGGTTACCTTTACCTGATCTTACTGATCAGCTACTTATTAGCAGGAAGGTATAAGAGCAGAACACAGTTATAGCAACCAAACATTAGCTGTGCTCAATTGGCACAAACACAGCTTTCTAATAACTGTCTGCTTTTTCACATTTACCAAACTATTTAAGCAAGCATGTGTCTGCATGGGTTGAAAATATCTGGCACGTGCTTCCGAAATATTGCACTTCTAGGGTACTCAGAAGACCCATCTAGAGTAGCACCAGCAGCACTATGGAGCAATGCACTCTAGAATACTACCTGGGTTACTGCAATACAGACAGCCAGGAAGACAAGGATCACATCAACTTTGTTACAGAGTTTGAACCGGGGGATTCCTGTCTGCACCACAAATGGCAAGGCAATAGCCTGCTAACAAGAAGATAACTACAGAATAACTCATGAAGAACTCCTGGCTAGCAATACTTGGTTGATGCTAATTGCTTTAGAATTGTTCCTGCAGCATTAACAGGCACACAATTAATTTACAAAGAAATCCCTAGACAGGCCAAAATAAATGCCCATTATCAGTGTGGGCCCCCAGATACTTTGCTGGCTGCAATCTTAGCATGACAATTTGCCATGACTCCAGGGACTACCACAGTGGCTGCAAAACATTTCATGCCAGCTGCTCACGCTCTCAGATTTCACATTTGTTAGGAGAGAGGACACAGCTGTGACTTTGCACTGTCAGGGAATTTTGAAACAGCGAGGGCAATCTCAGCCTCCTGCTGTAGTCTCCTTTCCATCTCCAAAGCGACACAAAGGCAATTAAGCAAGGGCTGGTGTCCAGTATCTGTCCCATAGTTTAGACGAGCTCTTAAGACAGCTATATTGGAGGTCACAAAGAGGTCCTAATAAAGTAAGAAGCGCAAACTCTTTCTTCCTCCCCTATCAGTCAGGTGGAGTTACACCAGGTATGAAAAGCTTTAAGTATTTTTTACACAAATCTGTTGGTGCTCAAAGTAAAACTCCCAGTGAAACTGCAGTTCTACTAGTTGTTATTTCAGTTTTTGAACACTCAGACTAACATGTTCATAAGAAAGTAAAAATTCATCAAGTCTGGAGCAGACATTTAGTCATTAAGTTACTCTCACACTTAACAGTGATTTTTATGGTTTTTTGTTTGTTTGGGTCTAACTCTCCACCAACAGGAACCTCTCAGGCAGAGGGGTGGAGGATGAGCGCAGCCCAAGAGATACACACTGAAACACATGTACTTCTGTGATTACCTTTTTCCCTTCTACATGCTTGATCGAGGGAAACATTTGGATGATTTACAAAACTAAATCTTCAGTAAGTTTTCACTTCCTTTCCAGTTACCACATATATGTTGCATGCAGTACCAATATAGCTCAACCCATTCTACACAATGAAGTACTAGCTGTGGACCACAAAATATTGGTTGCGACAACTGTATCAGCAAAGAACTTGGCCCATGTGCTATAACCAAGGGAACCCTGCAAGGTAAAAAGTTAGGAACCAATTTATAACGACAACAGATAAATAATCACCACACTATTTCTAAACTTACAATTGGAAAATGAGCAATAGCCACATTCTGAAAAGTCGGAGAGGTGGTAGCAAAGATATTAATTTTACGTTCTTACCTTACTAGTGCTTTGACAGTGGATCTAACCACACTGGAGAGCAGGAACAACGGAGACACAAGAATATGAAACAGGGAGATGGAGGCAAATGCCACGGATGGGGAGAAGTCAGCCTTTCTTGTCAGATGAGCATGGACCACAAATGTCTACAATGAGATGGACATCATCATCAGCGTTTTGTTATAAAGAAGAAAACGCACAAAGACTTCATATTTTATTTACAGAATCTTAATTTATACTCTCTTAACAGTTTGGAGGAGTGCTGCATACTCCGGGCTGCTTCTGGTCACAGACGACAACTGGGCATTTTCCATTCTTCCCCAGAGGAACTGCAAATGTGTAGCAGGTTTGCATCCTGTCCTCCTCCTTCCTCATTTCCACATCACTTATACTTGAAAATGCAGTTGTAATTAACACTACTTAGAAAAGTCCATACTTACTATAAGTACAGCTGCAATTGGTATTGCTGCATTCATAAAGACTGTGAAGGAAAACACGTAGGAACATTTAGAAACAATTTCCATTCAGACATGCTAAATGTTAAAATACTACTAGCACTGGTTTACAGTGGTATTTTCTATGTTTAAGATAGGAAAAATGCACAACTAGCTACACACATCAGTACATTGTTTTAAAATGCCTACAGTTCACTTCTCTTCACATCATCAGAACAGACAGAACCCAGCGGTGCACCCTAAAAAAAGATGACTGATCCACTGGTTTTGAGCTGCGATCAGCTCCCAGGCAGTTCAGGCGAGGGACGCTGCAGGTCTCCGTCTCATGACAGGCAGAAAGGCCGGGCTGGTACAAGGTCTGGCGGGCTACTTGAATACCTGACAGCGAGAGGAAGGGAGACCCAGCCGAGACTGCACAGGTTGTAGCTCTGGGACTGCCCCGCGGGCTGGCTGCGCACCTAGCTCTGCCCCAGCCCAGCGGCACGACCTCCTGGAGAGCCACAGGCACGTACGTCAAGTGGTGACCTCCTTCTGGGGCACCACTTCTGAGGCAAGGGCTTTGTGGTCCCTCAGGTTTCGGGATGCAGTTCAAAGGGTAAGGCAAGATTGGCAACCCTGCACTGTACCGTTGACTTGGGGTATTCTTAAGGAGGATTTACCCATAATTACTCCTGCTTTGTCAGGCTTCGCTACTTTGTGAATGTCCTCGGGAGCTCGATACAGGTTCTAACAATACCTAAATGTGGTAGAGCTTTGATTTCAGCTGGGCCTTGAGTTATTAAAATGCAAACAATGAACCAGTTTCCCCCCTGACCTCAAACAGTGTCTGTCTTGGTGCCCTGGATTCCCTCACTATAGCAACTCAACACTACAGCATTCAGAGTTTATTAAATGGATAGATGGGAAGAGGCAAGCAATACCATTTCTGTATAGGGATCTCTTTTAGATTGGGCAGGAATATGGGTTAAGAATGCAATAATAACCAGTTATCCACCTGGGAGCTTGAGTGAGAACCAGAGCTACTATCTTACCCCAACACATCCGTCCCCTCTATCGCAACCTGAGGATATTATTTAATCATCACCTTTTCATTTTGACCTTCGCTCAACTTTATTTCATGAAATAAGCAATACAGAGAAAGAATATAGAATCTACAGCTAAAATAGAATTAAAAGATCAGTACGCGTGTAACGGAGAAGAAAGAGGCTAGCCACTTCTTTTCTGTTTAAACTACGCCTGTTCTTTTTTCCTACCAGGTATAGCCCATGTTCAGACAGTAAAAGCACTCCCCAGTTACTTCATCTGAAGTGGAGTGTCACCCACAAATACTTCTGGTTGACTGTTTGGCCATCCTTTTCTGGGCATAAATCCCCTGAAGAATTTAACATACTGCCAGATGTTCACTCTTCCTACATTTAGAAGATCTGTAATGAATCCTGTAACATACTTGTAAACCGTGTACTCAAGCTTAAATAAAATAGCTGTGTTATTTCATGTAGCTCTAATTCCTTGACAGAGGGGAGTATTTGAAAATATAGGTATGTATATAATTATATACACAATATATATTTTGTGTATATAATTCCAAAATAAAAGCTTAGCCTTTGAAAGACTAATATGTATTAAAGCCTAGAAATTCACAGTTTACTCCTCACCCTAAGGGGGGAAAAAAAAAAAAAAAAA